TATGTCCCACTACAATAAGAACGACTCACTATGAAACTCAGGGTTATAGTCTTATCTGAGAGGGAAGACAATTACGTTCTCCAAGAACCCCGCACAAGGGGCCAGTTGTAGTGCGTTCTCTGGAATGTGCTTAATATAAAACCACAGGCCACCTGCTCAGCATTCAGTAATGGCATACTTTTTCATCCTGTTGGCACAGGTAGAAGACATGCCTGATGTTTATGCTTGCAAAATTCCTACATGTTGAAAAATACTACTAACCTTCATTACTATGGTGCTGAAACCCACTGACAGAAACAGAAACTCAGGGCCAGTGTCTGCCTTCAAAGTATACATGCTGCTATTGCACTAATCCCAGGACATTCCTAAGGGTGAAGCTCTCTGGACATGGGTCATATCAAGAAGAACCTAGTTAAAAATGTCTTTGCAGATTTTACAGCAGCAGCGATGAAATTCTCAGAGAAAAGGGCTGGCTAGTAATCCTTTAAGATGGTCAGGTGACTCAACATAAGGGAATTCAGGTGGTTTTTCAAATAATCACTGTCCTATATCTACATAGATATAGGAAAATATAGGTTTAATGATACAGGACTTTTTTGTTTTCAGAGTGATAAAAAGTGATATTGACAAGTACCTGAAATAATCAGAACGCAAAGTAATTCAATGTAAGTGATCTCTCCTGCTATCAACTTTCATTCATTGCAAATAAAGTGGTTGGCTGTGTTTTTATTCTCCACAGTACTTTTCTACTTTAAGATAATATTCGATTATATTGCTTAGTAAGTAGAATAATAGAGAACTTCTAGGAAAAGATTAATTTGTAAATTCTTTGAAACAAGACCGTTCAATGCAGGGACTCATACTGTCTCGTCATAAGGTATGGCTATAGTTCTGAGTCTGCGGTTCCTAAGAGTCATTAGCAAGAATGTGTAAAATCTGTCTTCAAAATACACCTTCTAACCAGACCACGCACAACCCACTTAGAGCTGTGACATCCAAAGACCTAACTCATTTTCCCACAAGACGCTGTGAAAGCACCCCACAGGAAGTGCTCAAAACACAGTTATTGCTACAAAAGAGGTAACTGTGCATTAGTCTTCTCGTTCTCGCCCTGGCCTTGAACACTGACGTCAGAGGTAACAGGGACATAGCAAGCAGGTCTTCGAAGCAATGATTACTTCAGTTCAAAACTCAGTAGTGTGCATGCTAAAGTGGGCGAGCGTGTTTACTTTTGAATTACTGCAGCCATCCCCGTGACTCTCAGATGCTTAATGCGTCTCTATTTCTTTGAAAGTATCATCTATAAACCTGTGTGGGCAGGGATTGATACTATAAAAGTACCTTTGATCCAAACTGAAATACACACGTGTAGCCGGTAGCTACTTAGAGGCTGAAACCACCTTCTGCATTTAAAGCCAAGTGGAAAAAAAAAAAAAAGAGTAGTGGGTGATCCCAATAAAATGAATAAAAGTGGAAGATTTTCCCCTACTGAGAAAATCTTGGGACCTGAGTTTTTCTATAGTTATCATCTTAAAGGCATAGTGTCAAAAACTGAAACAGAAACCCAGGGAATTGCTACTATGTAAATTAGGCAGAAATGGTTTTAAAAACAGAAGAAAAGAAAAAAATAACACTAACAGTATTGTCATGAGTCGGTAAGAAGGACAATGTCTCGGGATATAATAAAATGGTGAACTATGTGGCCATAAGTCATGCTTTTGCACCAATATGTGACATAAAAACAGACAAAGTATTTATATTTAGATACCTAGTGATTTTAAAATTCAATAACATAAAAGATTACATATAAAAACGGGCTGTTAAATCATCTGTTTTAGAGAACAGTACTAGCAATCAGTAACCTACCTTGCCATCACACTTTTAGCTATGAAATATATTGAAATAGACTTTGGAAATACTATTTATGGGAAAATTTAGCTAAACTATATGTGCAGGCAATAACTCCTTTACCCACATGTAATGTAAACAGAAGCTATGCAAATGACTCATTATTGCTCTAAATTATATCCTCCATGAGCTTCTTCCCATTACACCATGCCATGACTTAATGCCTGCCTTGATGGATTAGGGACATAAAACATCATCCTGCACTCTATGAGCACTGACACACAGAACGTTTTGAAGCAAATGATATTCAAATCAAGTAAGGTTCTTGAGTCATCTTCATTGGAAGCTCAAATCTATTTCTTTCCAAAGTAAGAGATGGAGCTACAAATAAAGGTTCATTAATCGCCTTTCTGTTACTCACAACCTAGCACAATGGAAACCATTGCTTTCTGAATCACATAGACCTTATGAAAAAGCCACCAATAATAGTTTTTATGTGTACATTTCAACTAATATAGCATTTTAAAGTATTTTAAAATATGTTTACAAATAGTCTATGATTACTTTCAATGGAAAAATAATAGAAACTCTTTTTATCTTATTTACAAAAATGTAGCTATCATAGTATGTATTGTATATGCAATTTTCTTGGTCTTTAGAAAATTGCATACACTTATTTTATATATATATATGTGTGTGTGGTGTGTGTGTGTGTGTGTGTGTGTGTTTTGTCTGCATGTATGTGTGTGCACCGTGTGCATGCCTTGTGCACACAGACGTCAGAAGAGAAACTGTAGTCACCCATGGTTGTGAGTTACCCTTTGGGTTGATGGGAATTGAACTCAGGTCCTCTGCAGGAGCAGTCAGTGTTCTCAGAAGCTGAGCCATCCCTCCAGCCCCAATTCTGGGTCTTTTTTTCAATAACACAGTTTCCCTAAAGGAGAGTTAGGACCTTGGAAGGAGCTTGGGTGCACAGGAGACACCAAAGCCACTTAATCAGCTTCTCAAGGTACCATTCGCAGACAACAGACATGCTTTGTTGTAAGACAGTCAAATTGCCACCTTCTGTTATCCTGACCCTGGGTTGTCTTTGCACATCTCACTTATAAGATATCCACACAAGCCAGAGATGCTCGCTTTCTTTGCATCCCATTCACCTGTAAATTGAGATGAAACAGGGAGTTTGCCAAAGGCTGATCCCAGCTTATGAGGACTCCTGCTATGTTATTGTCTTCATGAAAACCATCTGTTGCTGTTCACATGGCAATTGTGGAAACAAGTTAAGCAGATGCATAAGTGGAACTGGACCCAGCCATGTTTGCTAGGACAACTGTTCAATCTTCTGAAGAAGGAGAAGTGCTGGTCCTGCTGCCAGCTAAGCAAACCCACCATTTATAAGAGCCACTTGGAATCAAAGGGGAGAATCCAGTGCTTTAAAAGAAGAGACAAAATAGCACTGTTAGAATGCCAATCAGTGGAAAACTTATAATTCTGTGAGAAAAAGAAAATTGCACCTAAATTTTGGAAATCTTTAAAAGTTGCATGTTCATGGCTTTGTGTACTAAACAAAAAATATCTGAAAATAGAGTATTACATGTATTTCTTAAACTGTTTAGGTTTCACAAGCTTTGTGTTATAGTAATCAAATCATATTTTATGTAAACATTCAAATATGTACACCAGCACAAACATTAACACATGTAATCACATGTGTATATATACACACATTAATCTACAAAAAGATAAAAGAATTTACTTTGTATAAAAACACACAAGTGTGCAACACTATTTCTAAATAAAAAGATATGATTTACAAGCTCTTGCTAGAACAATTAGGGACATGAATTCCATGACTAAAAAAAAAATGCTGTGCTCTCTTGAGATATAATTTCAAAGTAAGTGGAAATGCAACTCCGTGAATTGTATTTTAAAGAAATACTGATTGGTTATTTTTTTCCTGTGCTTGGTTAAAATAGTATTACAATGCCATTATAAATCTAACACTATCAAAAAGTCTTTGAAAAGAGAGGACGGGCAATAAAGTGTACTCTGATCAGCTTGCACAAGGAAAGATACATAGCACAATGAGACCAAGCAGCCAGGGAGCACAAGAGCCTCAGAAAGAACCAAGACCTGTGGGACTCTATCCATGGCTTCACTCATTTCGTAGGTAAGAAGACGCCACCATGTTAAATCTGTGGGTCTAGCATAAAAATAGCAATATAAAAATATGCACTCCCCCCAGTGGCATCTGCTAGAAATAGGTGTATTTTGGTAACACTTTTAATTCTAGAGACCAGACATATGGTTAGTATATCCATGTTAGTAAAAACAGAAGGAATTGTTACTGACTCACTTAAGAAAATAAACACTTAATTTGGTCTTTTTTTTTAAAAAAAAAAAGTCAACTTTCGATATACATAAAATGTCATTAAGGCTTTAAAAAACTGAACTGGTGAATTGTTCTGGATTAAAATAATCATTGGTACTTTGGGCAATTAACTATAAATGCAACGGTTTTATTACAATAATCTTTTAAACGTCTCATTTTTAAACAGTCAGAATGCAAGAGATGAAAGTTACTGTGGCCATGCTGAGAATCTACTCTTTGGATGTTAGAAATAAGGGTTTTAAAAAATCCCACCATTACCTTCATCCCATTTGAAAATTGACCAGTGTTCTCTGACTCTGACCTAGCACCACCTCGCTGAACACACATACCGAAGACGCTCCTTCCAATACGTTTGCCTGCAGTTAGCCCTTTTGCAAGTTGAATCATAACTCAAGTGAGGAAATGACTGGAAAAGCCTAGATTTAGAAGTAAAAACTTTTTAAAAGCTAAGTTGAAAGTTGAACTATGCAGTGGCATTTCTTCCATAGTTTTTATGTAAGTCTGTGTTTTTCCTAGTTGATGCAGATAGTTTTGTCCAGAGACATATCTCAACAGAACTGTAAAGGAAATGTAGACACTGTCAAAAGTCATCACCATGGAAAAATAGCCACAAAGGAAAAGGAAAAGTGATTAGAATTACTAACACTAAGTATAACTGTGGTTATAGAGATAAAGCCCGACATTTAGAGTTTCGTGGGCAATTCCTCCCATGTTGATGTTGTGCCGTAGTGACTAAAATTTAGTTTTATTCGTGAAGAAGTAAAGAACCAAAGAGGTGGTCCATCAATGGGTGTCAGAGCAAAAATTACACATTTTCCAGAACTCGGGGACCAGGATGAAAACGAAGTGACATTCCAAACCTCCTCACAATAAGTGAGATCATATTTCACCTAACACAGTCTCCATGATCTTTATTCAAACATAAATCCTAGGATTGCCTCTTAATAACAGCCTCAAGGAATGCTTCTTTAATGCGTTCAAGAAAAGTAAGGCATGTGGATGTAGCTTGATGGTAGAGTGCTTGCTTGGCTTTTGCAAAGCCCTGAGTTTGATCTCAAGCTACATACACACACACACACACACACACACACACACACACACACACTACTCCCCCCATCTTTTGTTCTGATGCTCTCTGAGTACAAGCCATTGAAAGATAAGTAACAGTCATGTTGGTCACTAGAGGAAAACAATCCAAGGTCTATGTAAATTAAAGTTATTTCTGGACCCTTTGCCACAATAATGACATTTTTCTCCAGTAAGACAGAAAACACTTTTCACAGTATAGATGTCCCAGTAGTAAAGCTATGTTTACAGACCTCCCTTATATACAGAAAACACTTTGGTCTTCTATTTGAAGGTTCTCAGTCAGGATAAGAAATGTTGCAGAGAATGATACCCCAGTTGTCAGTGCCCTTTCTTTCTTACCTCGATGGGTAAGCACCAGGCTCAAGAGCTGAGCTTGCCTCACTGTACGACTTGCATCTTTGCTTTCTACAAATACATTGAGTTACCAGTAAACTGTTCAGAGACTACTCTGAATACACTAGAGGATATGGATAGAAATAATCACTTCCTTTAGTCCGTCACCAAAGCCGTGTCTTCTTGAAATAAAGATCCACTTTGTATCTTGGTCCTGGGCAGATGGCCAGGATTTTGATGCATTAAGTTCACAATTCTTTAGAGTCTTCCGGTACAACTTCTAGTATTATCTGCAATGTTCTGGTTATTCTGTCTATAAAGAGATAAGAAGGGATTAAAATGCATGAAAATAAGAACGGCATAAAAAGAGCAAAATGTGAATTATTTGGGGAGGGAGACTGAGATGCACAGCCACCTTCTTTGTAGTGCACTTTCGAGAATTATTTACTTCATTATAAACCTATCATGCTCAATTAATTTACTTGTCACTTCTACAACTTCCCATGATGCCTCTTCAGTAAGAATATATTAATGTTTTGCATTCAAATGGGAACATTTATTTATGAACCGGGAGGCTGAAAATATTTTGAGACAATGGAACCAAGATATAAATAAATGTTTACAAATATGCTCCTTGTTCAGCTCAAGATGGGTTTGTTCTTTTCTCACATAGGGGATGACAACCAATTTCTCAGACAGTCAGGAGAAGAATATTATTTCCAGTGTCTAATGTGTAGTATTGTTGAGCAAATTACCATATTTATCAAGGCCTCGGCTGTCTCATAAATAGAGGCAGAACTTGGACTAATCTGGGTCATTGAGGTCTGGTCCTTAGACCGGTTACATTCAGCATCGTCCACAACTCTGAATTTGCTTCAAATTCAACCTTTAGTCTCTTAATTTAGAAGCTGAGGGTTTAACACAGCAAGAGGCAACTGTAACACACTAAGATAGAAGAACCCCTGAGCTGTATCACTTCTAATGATGCTTCCTAGCCACAGCCGTAGAGTGCAGAGCTCTGTGGAGATGGTTCCAGGGACATTCTTGCTTTCTCATTGTCACTAACGCCCATAGAACATCTTCAGAAGTCTCCTAATCCTAGAGAACCCCAAGTTCTATCCTCTTAAAGGTTTAAGAACCAAATCATCTCTCCTCCAGGTATGCTTTCTCTTTTCTGATGATTCATCCTAATAGGTCCTTGCAAATAATATTTAACTACATTTTTTTAATGTATTTTCATCTTTGGCTCTCTGATCCTTGTAGCTTCAATGCTAAATGTCCCCCAGAGACGCATGCATTTGAACACTTGGTCACCATCTGTTGGTGCTGCTTATTTAGGAAAACTCTGGAAGGTTTAATGACTGCGGAATGTGAGCTAACCATGGCTGGCATGGAGACTATAGCCCAGCCTCACTTCCTATGGAGTCTCTATGTGGTTTTGGCTCCCTCATTGCAGATGGTATGACCCCTGCAGTCACGCCTTTTTCTGCCACGATGGGCTGTAGTCACTCAAACTATGAGCCAGAACAATCTCTTCTCCCTTAAGATGCCTCGTCCCAGGTATGTCGTCACAGTACAAAGAAAAGTAACAAATATAATCATATTCCCTGAGGGAATTTCCTGGGCACGTTTTTATTTAATTCTGTATTTATTGTAAGGGGTCTTATGTATACAATTGTCAAGTAAATTAAACCTTCTATGATTTTTAAATAAATTGTATTTTGTAACCGTCCACTCTGCCATGAAAGCAACAATCAAACAAGCACTGTAAAGAAAAGCAATGCAAATGAAGAAACAATAACGCAAGCCCATCTCTAAAAGGTACCCTGTGTAGTTCCCTAAGCTAAACCCTAGTTTCTTGTCTTCTCGCTTAGCCCCGGTCCTCCACACCTGACATCAAAGTTTGTCCTAGTGTCTTCCCGTAATGTGGGATCCCAACTGTTGTCTTCTTAGATCTCTTGATGGTATGGGAACTTTACAGCCACTCCAGATACACGGGAGCCTCTGGGATGCTCATGTTTGCATGTGTCTTTTATTTATGTATTTATTTATTTATTTATTTTTGGTTTTTTGGAGATAGGGTTTCTCTGTGGCTTTGGAGGCTGTCCTGGAACTAGCTTTTGTAGACCAGGCTGGCTTCAAACTCACAGAGATCCGCTGCCTCTGCCTCCCGAGTGTTAGGATTAAAAGCGTGCGCCACCACCCCCCAGCTGCATGTGTCCTTCTGAAAGCACAGTTTGGATTCTCCTTTCAGCAGAGAGGCGAGGAAGCTTCTAGAAACGCTGCAGAACACGTGACTTTGCAGTGCCATATATTCTATTTACATTCGCAGTAAGATTAGTGGCCAGACAATGATCCATCAATAACGGTGAGCCAATGACTGACAATTGGAAGTTTCCATAATTGAAACCTATGGGACTTTACAGGAATGCAGTGTTTTCAGTTTTGTTTTTCATGTTCCCTGGTTATTCTTGAAAGAATCTGGAACAGCCGACTTTGCAAAATCTCACTCACCCCATCACACCTGGTATCCACAGGGGAGCAACAGCCAAGACTGAGTGAGCTTGGGAAACAGGGCAAAGTCACTCTTACCCCAGAAGCTATATTAAAAATAATAATATGTTCTCTTAAAGCACTTTCATATGCATGATATTTATCTAGTGGAACATCTTCTGAGCTCCTACGAATATAGGCAAACTTAGTGGATTAAATAAGTACACTCTAATCTTTGGGGAAAGACTGCAAATGCATTAGTCAGCTTTCAGTGGCCCATGCCAGATGAAGCTATCCTGATACATTTTGGCCAACGTATGCTTCCAGGCTCTCAACTTTCTAGCTTGCGTTCTAGAAAGATGGATTTTAGGCATTCTGCTCATATCAGCCAGAATGGGTTTTTGTTTGTTAATTTTTACAATCAAAGATTATATTTAAATAGAGCTGCCTTCCTATCTCCACCTGAGCAAGGGGGGCCGGCTGCTGGCCATCCCACTGCCTCTCAGGTGAGCTAAGGTTGGATAGGTAACTATCAAGTTCAATGGCTGTCACTAGCCAGCCTGTGTTTCCAGGGTCTGTTACCTCCGTGTCTCTGTACACATCAGCGTGGAACCTGCCCTCTTTTCCTCCCCTGGGAAGTTTGCCTGTCTGTAGATAAATAAATCATATAAACAACCAAGCAGAAGAATGAACTGCCCTCTTAGAGACGTGGAGAAAGCTGTCGGCATATCTGACTACCCCCTTAAGAGAGTGCTCTCTTGCATCTCTGGAAATACTATAACATAAAAAGTGGTTCAATACTGGCATCCTGTGGCCAGAGGTATTCATCAGAGCTCTAGAAATCTCACATCCTTGGGCTAAGAGACTAGGAGCACCCCCTGGCTGTCTGTACCAACTAGCGTTACACCGGTTTCTGAATGGTGTCTAGATACAACTTCTAGGAACAGCCCCTGCGAGGGGCATTTTGCTAGACTGTCACTGTCACATTTTCCCAGGGTGGATCCATTCATACATACTGAGATTTAAAAAAAAAATCAAACAGCATAACATAAAAACTAAACAATTTACCAAGCAAACATGATATTAAACTCCTGAACAAACTGCTGGAAGCAAGGCTCTCCTGCCTCCACGCTCACGTGGAGTTTCCTCTCTAACAGAAAGTACATCTTTGGGGGAAGGGCCCAGTACTGCTTGCTGTAGGAGGCTTTTGCTTCATCTCTGTGTGTTTTGTTTTGGCCAAAGGCTACAAAAATACTTCCTACTGCAGCAATAAATACTATGAATTTTCTTTATTTTACTACAAGAATGCTGCCTAAGAGGAAAATCAAACAGAATTACAGAGGACTGTTGTTTTCCCTAGTCCCTTTCACAGCGTCTATAAAGATAAAGAGTTGTGATGATCACAGTATAAAGCAGAGTGGCTGGGGCCCTGGTAAGATGGCAGAGCGTCCCCGAGAACCAAACCACCGTCGTGGGTCTCGGCCACCACAGTTCGTTTCACAAAAGACTAACACTAAATTCAGCCGCCTTGAATATGTTCAAAACATCATTAGAGGCAGAAAAATAGCAAAACCTCCAAAATTACAAGAGCACAGAAGGGCAACAAAAAAAGATCGTGTATGAAAATTCCTGATCTGAACTGACTGAGCGGCTTCAAGCGCGCCTGTGGTAGTGAGACGAGAGACCAGCTAGAACTGGCTGCACAGGGAAGGACAGAAAACCTTCTGGAGGGGATAAAATAATTTTTCACTCCAGGCTCCTCCCAAAGGCTGTTGGCTCTTTCTTCTAGGCCTTGGGCAAGACATAAAGCCCTAGTCTCAGGGATGACTCCCCAACTCAGTCCTAAATGGTAGCAAGAAGCCAAGCGACATTAATCCCAATTTTTTTTTAATTTGGTTTTTTATGACAGGGTTTTTCTGTAGCTTTGGATCCTGACCTGGAACTAGCTCTTGTGGACCAGGCTGGCCTTGAACTCAGAGATCCACCTGCCTCTGCCTCCAGAGTGCTGGGATTAAAAGTGTGCACCACTACTGTCCAGCTAATCCTAAATATTTTAACAAAAGTTCTCCTCCCTTCAGAAGACCTATAGTCAGTGTCTCCAACATAGAAAACCCTAACTAAATATGGGTTTGCTTGGAAGAATTAGCTGATGGAGGACTGCATTTATAAGGCATTTGTTATGCCTAGTCCCTCATTCTGTGCAGTTCTCTGCATTCTGGTTACAGCTTCGCCTCATCAGATACTCCCTGGTCGCTAAAAGCAATAGCCATCACCATCAGAGTGACGTGAATCCTCTGGGGCCATAATTCAGCATCTATGTAGTAGGGACAATGGCTTCTACTCCTTCAAATGGTTGTCAGAACTGAAAGCGGTCTCACGTGTGCAAGCATATAGAAAACATAAAAGAAATCCAAGTTCTCATCCTCCTCATGGCTTGTGCTGTCACCAGAGCCTTCTGCAGCGCCCTTTCCTAACAAGGTGGTGCTGTAGCCTTGCTGCTTAAGACATTTGCAGGCTTCCACCTCACTCACCAAGAAATCTCACGTCATTGGTCGATTTAATGCTATGATAGTCACTTGACTTTGTTCCACCCAGGAGAACAAGCATTATGTCACTAAGGGATTCCAACGAGCAGTGAGGCCATTTGCAGCACCGGAAAGACTCTGCCTAAAGAAGCTATTCTCTAAAATGCCAGTGGCTACAACCACCCAAATGAAATGCCCAACTGGATGCAACGGGGCTGCACTCTAAATGCCCTTTGCTGCCTCTCTCCTCACAACTGCAATTAAAATGCAGTAATTTAATGACAATGGTACCACACGTTGTTTTAAAGTTTAAGAGATGCATACTGGATGTGTGTACCTTTATGGGTTCTCTATAGCAATTTATTGCCAGGTCCAAGGGGCTTAAAAGTCTTACCTGATAATTGTCTGAACCACTTGGGTTTCTTATCCCACACAATGAAGAGATAATATGCAGGGACTCCAGTCAGTGTGATGAGGAAGCCGATCCCGGTGCTAAATGGGTCCGAGTAAAGGGAGAGAATGACCATGAAGAGGCAGGTGAAGGAGAACAAGGCCGGGATGAACAGAGGCACCTGGAACATGGCCAAAAGAAAACAGCATCACTCAAGTTCAAGAGACCAGGGGCAGAGGGTACCAGTCATGTGACCAGGCCATGGGCCTCCACCCATGTGAGCAGCAAAATCTCTCCAAGCAGCACAGAGCCTGTATTAGGTGCAGTTTCTTAACTTTACCTCGTTTTTAGGATATCTGAACCAAGTCTAGGGCTAGTAGATGATCTCTTAGGGCTAGTCAATGATCTCTTCAAATTCTTTCACTTGCAAAGGATCATTAGGATTTATGTTTTTCATCTGAAAAGATTGCCTACTTGGTAATCGTGATTAGAACCCACTCTCACAGGGAGTCAAGAGCACCAGTGGCTTTGCTATGTGTTAACACCTGTCAGTGAACATTGATTTCCTGCTGAGAGTCACACTCCGACCCCACGGGAATAAAGCAGGCCGACTCCTAGTCAACAGCTAATAAAGATGCTGCAGGCATGCGGCCGCGAATACTATCAGAAACAAACCCTGATGACATGAGTGCAACGTTATCAGTGCTTTTGTCTTAAGAGCAAATAAATCGGGACATGGCATTGACCCGTGGACAGCTGAGGCTGAGGAGACGACAAGCCGGCTCTCCAGCCCTCCCAAAGGGAAATGCTGGGCACGGTAAATGGCCCTCCCGCCTGGTGGCAAGCTCTTCCTATTTCATGTTTCTTTAGAGCAGTCGTTCTCAACCTTCTGAATGCTGCGGCCCTTAAGACATTTCCTCAGGCTGTGGTGACCCCCCCCCCAACATAAGATTATATATAATTTTGCTAGCGCTAAGAATCAAAATGTAAATATCTGTGTTTTCCAATGGTTTTAGGAGACTCATGTGAAAGGGTCATTCAACCTCCTAGTATCCCAGGTTGAGAGCCATTGCTTTAGCATGTTAATGTTATAATATAATATATAATATAACATAAAGATTATGATGTTAACAAGTTAAAACTCTTCCTAACCCTTAAAGCTGTTCCTCTTTCCAAGTTATAATTAATGAAGTACTCTTTCTTTCCTAGCCCAGCTGTGTCAACAAATGGGCATGAAGACAAATGAGGGAATTCCACCCTCTGAAACGCACCAAGTCATGCATGAAAACCCAACACAAAAAGTATCTTTTAACACTATCTGTTCTCAACAGGTAAAATCTGCGATGAATTCACTATATCTTACTTAAAATATATATTTATATATATAATATATATTTATATGCTTTCCCTAAGTAAAACATATTAGAAAGCGCTCCCTGCCAGAGTTACATCTTTTACACTTCAGGACGCTGTCCTCCCAACCTCCCCATCATCAAGTTATGACAAAAGAGGCCTAGGTATTAGGAGAGAGATTTATGCAAACCCATCAAGCTTGTCCAGGCTACCTTGAAAGGACGATGCATATCTGGGCGTTTGTATCGAAGATAAATCAACCCGGCAACTACCAGTCCCATAAAAAGCCACCTGGCAAAACTGAGGAAGTTCAGAAGACTGTAGAGGTCTCCGGAGAAGAGCATGATCATCGTCAGAGGATGCTGCGGTGGGGGAGAGGAGACAAGGTTAACGCAGCGAACTGAGAGGGGGCAGGCAATACCAAACAACAACACTGTCTCATTTCACATGTGGCTTTCCAATGGCTTATTTTATAACAAGAGACCATCATCCTGACCGAAGCCTACATTCCACACACTTCTTTTCCATATTCTAAGCCTCAGTTGGGGGATGCGGTCATCACCCCGGGTTCAGCTGGAATTTTATGCGAATTTGCTGTTTTGTTAATTTGTCCATTCCTTTTCTTCACTGGAGAGGAGACAATGTGTTTTCTGTGGCTGTTCTGTGCTGTGTGCACGTGTGTCCATCTACATGTGTATAAATGCAGGGGTGTTTATAAATGCATGTGGAGGCCAGGGGACAAACTTAGCTGCTGTTCTCAGTCTGTCAATTCTTCAGGTCACTTCTACCTTGTCTCTCATTGGCCTAGAACTGGCCAGGTAGGCTAGGCCGACAGGCCAGTGAGTTCCAGGGATCTCCCTATCTCTGCCTCCCCAGCACTGGGATTATGAACCCAAGCATCGATGCCAGCACTTTATAAATATGGTTCTGAGGGACTAAACTTTCCAGTCCTTATGCTTTCAAGACTAGCAGTGTACCAGGGTCACCCTGCCCTAGACAATGTGTTCCAAAAAAAAAAAAAAAAAGCATCCAATCACTCAAAATCAATGGGGCTTCAATTATTAGTAAGTGCCAATCATAAATATTAAACGCGGCTCCACTAGAAACCTCAAAGGCTGCTCTGAGGTGATTTCTGAGATGCTCCTGGAGCCCACACACAGGAAGTCACCAGGAGGAGGTGAACCTTTTGGCTCCTGACTGTAAAACATGGACCTCTTCTTGCTCCAGGTCCGCTCTCCTCGTGTGCTAACTGCACGTGCCCCTCAAGAAGAGGAGAGAATGGAGCCTCAGAACAGCAAGCAGCAGGTCAGGCCTCTGCCGCGGAGAAAGCCAAGGACGATGTGACTGATGGCAGAGGCTCCAAATGAAAGCCCTCTTCATGGAATAATAATACTTCCTGTTCCCACAAGGGATGTTAGCTTCTAGAATCCTCACAGAGTGTGTGCGTACTTTAAAAAGAAATTTCAAGGATGCATTCGGAAACAAATTAAATGCACGGAGAAGAAAAAATGTCCAGTGCTTCCTAGGGCACTCTCAAAAGCACATTTCAGTTGAGGGGAAAATGGTACTCAAATAAAAAAGGCTAGAACATGGCCAAGGCGTATTTGAGGGCTCCTACACCTTTTACAGTCTTTCGTACCCCACTTTTCACAAAGAGTGTCCCTGGCATAGAGAACTCCACAGCTTCAGTTTACATGTGGGCTTTTCCTTTCTTCTCCGTAAGGTTGGCTCTCGCAGGTCTTAGTTACAACTGGAGAAACATTTCACTGCTTAGTGCTATATCTACGCTTTGGATGGGGTTGGGGGGTTTCATTATGATGGGGGCCAGGAGGAGAGACAACGGGTAATGTTTGCACAGCCTGCTTTCAGCTGAACTCGGAGTCAGTAGTCGAAACTCTGTCCTTGTGGTTTTTCCTTTTCTCTCCTTTGAGGTTCTCTGCCAAGCAAAGAAACCGCAGCCCTTACTTCCCATTATACCTTACAAATGTTCTCAAAGGTGAAACAGAAACGGGGCGGGACATACCCAGGGCGTTCCATACACACCAGAAACACAGAGTCAAAAGAAGTCTGTTCTGACTCCGCCTTTTGCTAAACCTTTTGTGAGGGTATATATATATAATCTACATATACTTGTTAATGTGCGTTACCAAAACAATAACAGCTGGCAGAGGAGTGTGCTTGTGGACATGAATCATGGAAAGGATTTCCGGAAGGTGCCCTTCTCGAGACGCAACGTAAAACAACCTGGTGGGAGAAAAACGTGGGTGGAGTTCACTATAGAATCAATCATTCGAATGGGAAAAATCCTGAAATCCCCAAAGCAACATGTGTGCATCTTTCTCACACTCAGCATGTTACCGTTTCTTAGATGGTCATTTTAGCTGTGCCTTGCAGACAAAGGGCAGACTTCATCATAAGTCTCATGTCAAGACTTATGATATCTGGGACATATCTTATTATGCTTTGAGGAAAAGCAAAAGCAACGTCTCACTGAGTGGAGCTTTACCTACACACGAAGAGCTTGTAGCAAAGTCAACTCTATATTGCTAGTGTCAATCCAGTCTAGCACACAAACATTAAACACATGTACATACATGTAGCATTCATATGACTTAAATTGTAACATAAGGAAATGAGATTTCCCGTGCCATCAAACAAAGCAAAAGGGTTACAGATGGTGGGGTGGTTATTTCTGCTTTCTACTTTACTCTTTTTCGTGGCACCTTCAGGAAAACAAAAGACTTTATCGCCAGAAATAAAAGCTGTTATTAGGCCCTGTAGACAGACTCTAAAAAATGCGGCATGGCCGGCTCAGAGCGGGCTATGTGTAGACACGCAGCGCCCTCTACTGGAGAGAATCAAACATGCTGCACTAGAATCTACTACAAACTTGCATAACGCTTTAAAAACAACAGGGTCGGAGGCACTATTGATTTTCTGTTTAAAAGTTATCCTTATCACATCCAATCTCTAAAACAGAAATGTGTTTCTGAAAATACATGAACCCGCTCACCTGGAGACAGCGAACACGCCACCGTTCATGGAGCCGAAGCAGGAGAGGGCAACAAAGATCGGGACTGCTAATGAGAAATTTCCCAGCAGCCGCTCAGAGAAGGTCTGGGGAAAGAGAGAATGAAGCAAATTAATGCTTTCCCAGAAAGTGGAATAAAATGAAGCAATTTAGGCCAAACTTGCTCTTTGGCTTTCTGTTAGCCTGGTGCTATGTGAATGTTTTATAACCCTTCTTTTTGGTTAGGGTCAAACGGACTCCTCAGACAATCATCGGAAGCGGGTACCATGGCATTGCTTGTCTCAGACCTGTGAGCAAAGGTCTCAACAGTCACCTTCTCTCTCTCTTCAAAGCGATGATCCATTTACTGAATCTTTATCAACCATGATGTATATCATCTCTGCCTCTGATCAGAAAAAGAGGCTCAACTCAGAAATTCTGCTTTTAGAGACAGAAATGGTTCGGTACACTACCTGCTCTTTAGCCCAGAAAGCCACCTTTGTATGATGGGGTACAGACACGCATTCACAAGAGTTACAGCTAGACAATAGGACAAGACAACAGACAAGATGATCATTTAAGTCCTACTACCAACGGGCCAGTCTACAGGGCTCCTTCCCCCAGTACAGTCATACCAGCTGAACCAGTTCATGGAGTTAACCCTCCCCCACCCTAGGAAGCTGCCATTTTCTTCCAGGGTTTCCTGTAAAAAGCTAGAACACAACCCCAGTCCTGACAAGTGGCAGGGAATAGAGAAGGTAGACGAAGTTCTGAGATTTCCTCCATGAGCAGCCCTGCACATTTCTGTGAAAGATAAACTTATTTTTAATGTAGGATTGTTTTTTTCATTGTACTTGATGCAGCTGGGGCGAAGCAATCAACAGATCCCATTTTGGTCTCCAAAATTTAGTGTTACCCTTTACATAGAAAGGTGAGGCAACTGACCAGACACCTGGAAACTTTATACACGTCACTGCCTGATAGCATGCCCAGCAGTGGACAAAGCCCTTTACATACAGTGAACTCATACGCTGGTTCAGTCAAACCGAGATGTTTATCCTGTGTGTGGCATTGATAGGAAGCAATACTGTTTTAAAAGGAATTGGCATTCATGGACGGGACGGTCACTTGACGTTTTTGAGTTTTTCACCCTTCCTGTTTTTGAATTAATGCATGGATTCTTTCTTATAAGCTAAAACATTTGAGCAAAAAAAATAAAAGTCTGTGTTGCATAGAAACAGTCATATAGCATGGTCTTTGGAAACAAGTGTGATCCCAGTGTCAATTAAACTTAGGGAAATGCTTTAGATTTGTATGCTTGTATTTCTTAGGGAGTTACAATGCACACTGGCATCTTCAAGTATTACAACAACATCTCTTTAACATTTAATTGCCTAGTTGTTCTCAAATTTATGAATACCCCAACACTACTGTTCCAAGGTTATGCTGGAAATAAATAGACTTGGTCCTCCTCAATGTTCTGGAATGATCCTTCGGAGAAAGGATTCAAGTCAACATTTGTTAAGTTTATAACCAGAAACCAGCAGAGTGGGTTGTACTTTTGCAAATCAAAACCTACATTTATTTACATTCAGTAGCTGTCCACCTGTCCTTAGAGCCATGCTGGGAAAGTAATTTCTCCTTCTAAGAAAGCCTTGGAGGCGTTTTCAGCAGCTATATGTGGAAATGTTTTCTAGGAGATTAATAAAAACAAAGCGAATCTATGGAAGAACTTAGCTGTATCATATTAGTAAGGTGTGCTAAAAATTTTCAAACTATTAGCATTCAGGATGGGAAAAGATTACTGTCTTCCAAAACCCGTTCTCCTGGAGGGAATCACTATAAAGGTCCATCAGCTCGTTAGCTTAAAGCCAAACTGGCATGATTTTAATGTGGACTTACCACCGCCACAGCATTGGATAGCAGCAACTCCTCGGCACTGATGGTCGTAAAATAGGCCACGTTTGTTAGCACATAGCCGACTGTGATGATGGCCATGGAAATGCAGATTGCCAGGGGGATGTTTCTGGAATACACAAAGACATCACTTATGAGTCATTATGTGTTCTCTGCTACCAAAGAATGGAGAAGACTAATTCCAGTAAAGGATGTCACAGTTTGGCCATGACTGAAGGCTCTGTTGGCACATGGAAGGACATTTTATCAGAACAAAGTTATCGTTGCAGTTTAATGAGATTCATGGAGGCGGGTATTTTGTATAACTCGTCTATTATTTCATTCCCAAATACAAAGGTCAGTCTCTTTCCTTATTTCATGAATGTTATTGCCATGCTTCTACTAACCTCACAGTCACTCGACAGGCTTGTTAAAGCGCAGGCCACTGAGCCCCTCCCTGTGTTTCTGATTCAATGGGATCAGCATCCCTCCTATTTTCCTAAGCGCCCCTGATGCTGCTCACTGGTGACCACATACCTTTCTGCTATTAATCCACTGTACTGGCAGCTTTTTAAGGGGAGTCCTCCAAAGCATCTTTCCTATTCAGTGTTTTCCCCTTGGGCAGCTTGTGGTGCAAACCAGCAAAGACTTTGCAAGCAGGGGAGTGGGCTGCATCTATCTTCGCAAAACGAAGGCAATAAGAATCTTGTATGGAAGAGAAGTGTTCACAATAACGACTCTGCATGGCCCTGCTGTGAGTTCAAAGGACTCTCAAGATCAGGAGCATCTAATAAAGCAGCCGTGCAGATAATCCCACGAAATTAGAGGAGACACGCTGTGAAGTATGGACGACCGGACAGCGCTGACACTGTGTGGCCTCAAGAAGTACCCGGCACAAATGCAATATTATGTCTTCATTTAATGCGGTGGGAAAGCCAGGAAGCCACTGACCCTCATAATTTGATTCCATGTTACCGATACACATTACTTGCTTAACATAATCGCCTCTTCAGACCCTTTCCAGTTCAAGCAACTTTAAACCTTCAACTTCCTGCACAAAAGCTGGTCATTTTTTTTTTCTCTCTAGCATTCGGCTATCAGCCCTCATACAGGCTTCCCCCTGCTGGGTGCCATTAATGAAGACCTCAACGTAATTTCTTCCCGGATGAAAATGCAGTTCAGAGCCAGGAGGGGAAAGGCATAGCCAGCCTCACTGACCAAGCTAGATGTGTTTAACACCCTGAGTCCCGGCTCATTATGCTGAACAGCAATATTCCTTGTTGAGCACAGGCAACACGAGCTAGTCAGCAGCTGCCCTTCATTATGCTGCTTGCAGCCTGACACTCGCCCTGATCCCCAAAGCCTTCAGCCTTGACCTCTAAATCCTGGCATCCAAACATGAAAGGAGCAGATGTTCTCCCTTCCCCGATGTGAAAAGGGTCCCATGGAATTTCCCCTGAGCACCATGGCAGACCTTGCTAGCTGTAATTGATAGACGCTAAATTTAAGGCAAAAGGAAAATAAAACAAAAATCACCAGGCCAATGAAAGACAAGGGAGTGAAGCAATTAAGACGAATTCTGTTTCTCTGAAAGACTAGGTGGCACTGCAAAGGGATAACAGGAAGAGATGAGGTGTAGATCCCCCTTCTCATGGGTTCTTTCAACTGGAATATAGCTTCTGACCTGGAAACTACATGCTTTGGGTAAAGGAAGATGGAGATACAGAGAAGGGGAGAAACAGACCCTCCATGCCTTCCAAACACATGATTGATTAAGGTAGTATATCAAGGTTCTAGCCATAAAAATTGAGGTGGCATTGCTCAATGAATTGGGGTGACTAACTTGCAGAAGAGAGGGAACTTGGTTACACCATATAATGCTGAAAACTACAGAAAAAAACACATCTGACGCTTGGGACTATGGTCCTCCCAGGCAAGAACTGAGTTCTCTAGCCTTGTACCTGGAAACCAGAACCTGCTTGGTCCCTTCTTGGTATGTCTTTCAGTAAGGCTTTCCATACCCATCTTATCAGAGGACAGGCTTAGCTAACCCAGGCTTCTAGGTTAGCATCCCTTCTTTCTCAGTTTCCTACTAAAGAACCTAGCAACAGCAGTTCTGGCCATTGGGCTGATATCAGTCCCAGCATCTATGAAGCTTCTGTGTATCTGCCTCATTTTATCTTGGAATTTCCTGAATGCTGGAAACATCAGTACTTTTTTTTTTATTTATAAAGAAATGGAATTTTTGAACTTTAAAAAAACTATCCAAGGACACCCAGCTGGTGAATAGAATTCAGGATTTGGCTGTGAGCATGGCCTAATTTGAAATCAGGGCATTTTTAACCCTGAGAGTGTACTCTCTCACACAAGTGTGGCTCCCTCAACTCTATTGCTGTTCATGGAAATGAAACTGTAGAATATTGAGTTGGGGAAGTCTCGTCAAGATTACATTTCTCACAAGTTCCAGTTAAAGGAGGAGGAGCATTCAGAGCTTCTTGTCATGTTTCTGTAGAGCACAGACTGTAGTGTTGGGAGTGTTCTCAGACATCTTACCATTTTATGGAACAGATTATTATTATTATATTATTATTATTATTTAAAAGAAAAGATGTTCACTTGATGAATCTCCCCAGACATGTTTGTATACAAAAGAAAGAAGAGTCAACATGTTTGTCAAATAAGTTATAATGTTGTTCTCAAATGTGCTGTGGAGCCAAATATGCTAGGTAGCTATTGGGAGGGGCAACCAACCCTAAAGTAAGGGTCCAAAGAGTGAGAGGGTAGGCTGTGGTATACAATAATCCACAATTCGCTCCGATTGGATCTAATGAAACCATTGGAATTAGAGACACTGTGGCTACAGAGCCACTAGCATTACTGAGCATCCTTAGGTTCCATTCCACTTGGAAGGAAGGGAAGGAAGTGGGGCAGATTTTGTGGTTGTTTTGCCATAAACAGCATCAGTTCACAATGGTGACGAGCTGGCCTGATCAGGGCTGAGCGCCATGTGGTTAAGTCCTGGTTACAAGGATCAAAGCCTATGAACTGATAAAAGCCAGATCGATCTTTCAGATGATTTAGATGCAAAGGACAGATAATCACAGTTAGGGGCCCAAGAGGAAGGCCAGTGGCACGGGAAATGAAAAAAAATAGAGGAAGGAGCAGAGAGGCCATGGGTATTTCAAAGCCTCTGAATTGCTGAGAGGTGGACGCCCATCCCAAATGGCAACAGAATCATTAGCTTCGTGATGAATGCAAATGGCACACACCTGTAAACCCTCCTCTTTCTCGGGTGTTTGAGCATGTTTGTGATGATAAACAAAACCCAAAGTTAGTGAGAAGAGCTCCTTCATCCCCAAGAGCCTTCCATGATTGCATGTGCTTTTTCTGATTAACGGGCAATGAGTGTGTGTATGATAATTGTATTAGCTGAAAACTGTCTTCAAAACTGTCATAGGTAGTCCTCCTACTTCTTCATTTAAATTGGCATCTCTAGCCATCCTGGCACACTTTGAAACTATTAAACTGGAAATTGCCTGTTCAGGAGTTCCTTTTCCATTTCTTTTTGTTATGGGTGATGGCTTCTTTTCAGAAAGTGATGGATGGATATTTGTCTTTGAAGAATCTGCATGGGCCCCACAAAGATACTTGATACTGAAGTAGATGCACTACATTTCAGACCATTGTGGAACAATACAGAAGATAAATACATGAAACACACAATCATATGTTTACGTAGTAGGTAGCTCCCATATTCTTTTAAGCAGAAAAGCCAAGGCTGGCAGAGGTTTGTGATATGGATCAAGGTCCCAGAAGCAGCGAGTGGAGAGCTGGAACTCAAACCTAGGCCCCCCCCCCCCCGTCCCCCAGTGCTTCCGAGTCCCAGAATGTCTGTTGCAATGGCATCTTGACTGTATAGTGCTGACTTTTATCTCAAGTTCAAGATCCACAATTGTTTCTCTACACATCTTGTGCCATGCATGTGTGACTATGAACCCAACAGTCACTGAAAGTGGAGAGTCTGTTAAACATGTTATTATAAAGTACCAGAGATACGGTTTCTAGAATTCCATTTGGGCCACAAGGAGCTACTGCTGTAAACTCAGCTGGATGCCGTGATCCTTCAAGGACACATCAAAGTGGAAGGGAGTCGTGTTTCTCAGGTGGCCAGAGTAATGCCTTAATTATTTGAATTTAGGATAGTCCAAGCTTGTTTCATAACCTGAACAAAATCTCCCAAGACTGTTGCAACCTAAGTCTGTTAATCTCCCCAGTCACCATGAGGACCTAGAGCTCACTGACCCCTGTGTTATCTCCTCGGTCACCATGATAACCTAGAACTCACCCCATAGGTGCTCTTATGTTTGTGATAAGGGCCAGGACACAGTGGCAGACATTTAAGTTATAAAAAAAAGAAAGAAAGAAAGAAATAAAGAAAGATGAAACATACACAAAAAAACCCTACTCTCATATGCTCTGGAACCTTCTAAGTGGTTCTTGTTCCAACTTTCTACTTAGATGCATTAATATTTTAATGCATGTATTTGACATTCAGAGAAAGTAAGGATCATGACAAAAAAAGTCATGATCAAGAAGAGCAAAAGAAGGACAAACTTCTTAAGGTAAAAAGCAAAAAAGGGGAGGTGAATGAATGAATGAATAAATAAATAAATGAAAACTAGCATTTTTCAAGGATTTTTAAAAGTCTGCTGGGAAACAAAGGATTTGCGCTTTGTACTTAAAATGCAGCCATGCTTCATTGCAACATAAAGTATTTATAATTATATTAAGTACCTTCTAATCCTAACCATTTATTTTAGAGACATACTTGTTTCAGATTTCTTCTATAGTGACCCTGCAGGGACTTTGAAAGATTTATATAATTTTTTTCCTACAGATTTGACCAAGAAATAATTCAGACATCATTACCTCTCTCTTTGGATTTACCGGCTTGCTTTTTGTAGAGTTATATTTCTTTTGTTATCACTGCTATTGACTTTTTAAATTCTTAAAACTTCAGTTGTGCATGACAGACAAGATACTAATAAGCTTATTTCAAGGATAAGCTTCCCCCACATGTTTCATGCATGTGATTTTATGTCCACATATACTACTCATGTTTCCTTAGTT